AAGTTAACAAATAATAGGAGGTTAACTTAAATCATAGTCAAATTATATATAGGTAAAACAAAAAGGTTATACATTTAATCAAAAATGTTATAAGTTATGAATAACATACATTCTAAAATTATGAAGTTATGATTAAATATACAAAATTTTCCTATCTTATGAGGTGTTATTTAAAAATTCATATTTATTTTGGGGTTATTCTAAATTTCCCACTATTTTTATAAAATATGTTAATGATATATTTAGTAATTTTATTTATGTTATTTATTTGTATTTGCAATTTATAATCTAAAAATTTATTCTTGCTAGATAAGAGTTTTGTGTTACCAACAAGGTGTGCTTTGTCCCTTCCATACCTCTCTTATCTTTTCTGAAACCCCAATACAATGGTATATAACCTTAGATTATACATAAATTCAAAAATTAAAATAGTATTTAAATAAATCTCTTGTTACTATTGAATGGGTACTTGCCATTTAAAGTTCTACCATATTCTTATTGAATTGGTACTTTATGCATTTAAAGTTCTATTTACCCCTAAATATTCAGGAATATGTAAAATATTAGATGTGTGTTCAGTGCATTCAATGCACAGGCAAAATTTAAAAATGTTAACTATTAATTAATTTATGAAAGTTACATGGGACATGGTTTTTTGATCAGGCCTGGCTATGTCTGCAAAAAAAAATTCTGATCAATCTATAACCCATATTTAAAATTCAAAAATCTTAAAGCACCTCTATTTTAAATTTTATCCAATATGATTTCCATCACATTTTTAAATTTTGATATTTCTAATACATGCTCACGGTATACATTGCGACAATTTTACCTCTTTTTCTCTTAAATTTTAATATTGAAACGGGAGGCTTGTGTTCGATTCTCGTAAAGAGCAAAAAATTAACATTACACTATATAGTCTCCTTAAATTTAAAATACATTAGGGAGATACGAAAACGATCGTGTTTTAATTATGGAGATAAAATTAACATTACACTATATAGTCTCCTTAAATTTAAAATACATTAAGGAGATACGAAAACGATCGTGTTGTGATTATGGAGATTATATATATTAGATATACAAGATAAAATATTAACTATATTTGAAGAAAAAAAGATATTTGAAATTTATATTTTCTAAATTTTAATAAATATATTTATTAATTGATTTGGGTTGTAGACCAAATTTTCTTTATTGGGTCGTTAATTTTTATGTTTCGTTCTTCCGAATGGCGCCTTTCTATAGAAAAAAAAAGAGTGGCGTTTACATTTATTTAAAAATTTTTATTTTTAAAATTTCTTCCGAATATATTTTTTTCGTAAATTAAAATAAGGTTCATAAAAATTTTGAAAAAATATTCACTTAAACTATTTTTTTTTCCTAATACATAAATGAGGTATTTCTGTTTTTTAAACACTTCAAACTTATTTGTCTATGTTTTTAATGTATCACCAAATAAAACACATGCAAAGAAATGAATAAATCTTATTGAAAAATAATCTTTCCATATTTATATGTATATCATGATAATTTTTTATAATAAAATTAATATAATGGAAATATTATTATCATTTAATTTTTATCTTGTATGTCAAAATTTTTTAATGATAATTTGATAGTTTTTTTTACTGGTAGAATGCTCAAATAGAAAAAAATGAGAAGAAAAAAACAACTGAATTATAAAAATATAGAAACAAGGCTGTAATTTATTTGTATGAGTAATTTAATAAACCAACAATACAAGAAGTTTGATAAACTTATATAAAATATGAAATAATTTTCTTTCTAAATTAATTAATGGGAAACTGGTTATCAAATTTTAAACAATATTACTACCACTTTTTTTCAATATGTTTAGCTGGAAAGAATTTCAAACAAAATTAGCGTATTTCTTTCATCTATAATTACATTCCTAAAAAATATAACTACTTATAGTTATAAATTTCTTCAAGAAAGGCATTATAATGGCAACATCACTTTTGAAATTATAACTTTGTTTAAAATAGATAAGAATCTAAAAAAATTTTAATAGGTGAAACAACGATGGCATTATAATGGGCAACAATGCTATTGAAAATATAACATGAAGTTTTAATTTTTAAATAAACAGAAAATATCAAATAAAAAGATCGTAAAATCATAAAAATCAAAAACATTTTCAGAGAAAATGGATGGGAGAGGGAAGAAGAGAAGAATGGTTGAGGCAAAGCCTTCCATTCTGAATAAATCTTATCTACCCCCTTACAAACAATTTTAAATATGAAATAAAAACTATGCATAATTAATCCTTAAATAAAAATTATTGTATACCTCACATTGTTTCGTAAATGTTTAACAATAATATATATAATTATCGGTAAATTGCTAGGGTAAATTTTTTTTTTTAAATTTTGCCATGAAATATTATCTATAACCTTAGACCTATAGCTTAATAAATATTTTTTTTTTAATTAAAAATAAATATACATTATTCTACAGAATATCTAGGCATTTTTTTAAATCTTTATTTAAGAGAAGACTCATTATAAATCCAAAATCGATTTTCGTAATTTTAATAATCATCTTGTATTATTATTTTATTTAAATTTTCGGGACATGATGATGATATCTGAATTCAACGTCAATCCAGCGGTAGAGAAAACTCTTTCAGCGGATGTGCTAGTGGCCGGAATACAGGGAATTGTTTTGGCGAACCTAGAAAGATTGAGAAGTTCACTCTTATTTTCTCTCTGAAAATTTAGAACATACATATCTTATGAATGTCGTTTTCCAAGTTGAATGTGGCATTCTTGTTCTAAGTCACCTAACGTGGATTCATAATTTGTATTTGTTGAAAGTTTGCCAATTTTGTCAAATAACTTGAATTAAATAATTCCTCTTGATCCTCAATAGCTTTATTTACTACCTGAATATCATCATTCTCTATAGGTTTAAGATGTTTTATTATAAATTATGAAGCTGAACAATTTTGCTCTATTATATACTTTGAAACAATTGTCAATTTTTGAAATATTGGATCTAAAAAAGCTAATACCTAGATAAATTTAAAAAAAAAAAAATTAAATGAATGAGTATATTATATATTGTTATATGCAGATCACAAACAGGAAATCGTAACGCAAGTTTTTTTAGCATATTTTCCTTAAATAAAATGATTTATTAAATGTGTTTCAATTTCACTTCTAAAAAGTAATGCCAAATTGTAGCCCATTTTGTACTGAAAGAAATTCGACAGTTTCTTTAGATTTTGAAAAAAAAAATGCTAATAGTTCTTCTATCAGATTAGATTCATAGTTTGATAATTTGAGAAAGTGTTTCCCATCTCATTTCAAAACATTATTAATTAAATTATTATTTAATCCATATATGCTTTCTAGCTTAATTATCATACTATGCCAAAGTGTTAGAACATTTAATTTTAAGGTTTTCATTTTCGTGGAATTATTGTTATTATTATTATCATTGGAATTGCCAATTTAAAAACGGGTATCTGGGTTAGGATCAGTGCTATCAGGATCTAACATGTCTGATGTTAAATCTATTAAACTTAAGCATTTTCTTTGATCTACTTCGAATTCAAATTCAACCTCTGCAGTTTTATATGTTAGAGCAATAATTATTTCTCTAATTCTTTTTAAAGATAAAAGCGCTTATTCTATAAAACGAAATTGGGGCTACCAAAATTACCAAAAAAAAAACACTTAATATTTATATTTTGATAGTAATAATTTGAATATTTTTTTTTTTTAAAAAAAAGATAAAAATTTGAATTCTAATGTATAAGAACTTTTATTTTGAAGCCTATCTATTTTTTTAAAAATTAAAGTAAGAGATAAAATTTGGTGAAAAAAAAAAGAATATTTTTTTTATTCTCGGCTATATCAACTGGATTAGATTAGAAATGAAGATACGTGTAATCCCAAATTAAGAATGAACTTAAAACTGGTGAACAGAAGTTAAATCATTTTAGCCTTAGGCTATTAAAAATATTTTTTTATTTTGGTAGCGGTAAAACATTGTAATAAAGTTGCCAGTAATAATAAAATGCATTACTAAATGAATGATTACAGAGAAATAAATTGGCAATTGCATATAAACAAATAATTAAGGAAATCCATCAAATCCATTCACCAAATAAAAAATTAAATATGATATATTGATAATAAATGTGTAATTGATTTTTTTTTTGATTTCCTTGGTGGAGGCCCTTTAATATAAATATAAAATATTTCACGAATAAATTAATTATGTAAGATATCTTTCGCGTGAACATCAATATTCAATAATATTAATCTTGGGAAGATGGAAAGATGGAAGCAAAGAAGATTTCGCGATTAACTATTTACATTAATTAGGTTAAAAATATTGAGCGCACTTTTTAAATCCTAGTAACGTGACTTTACTGCGAAACGTATTCCATCATGTTTGTTATATTTAGAAAATTTTACCATGAACATTTGAAATTTGAACATAGTATCATTTATATTAGTTTGTCCATAGATATTTTTTTTGTATAGCATATAAATGTAAAAGGGTTAACTGCAAAAATGTCTTAAATTCTTAGGGTAAGGTTCTAAAATAACCGGAATACATTTTTAAATCCTTAAGGGGACGTTTATAGTTATTTAATTATTTAATAAAAAATAATATCTTAATCTAATAAATTTTGGATCAATTTTATATATTTTTATAGGTGACAATAATTTTTATTTTCATTTCTAAAAATCTCAAAAATTAAGATATAATTAATTATAAATTGATTTAATAATGTATTACCTTTACTGTATATACAATTAAAGTAATGGTGATAAAAAATGTATTTATTAATAAATCAATCAAAATACTGGGGAAAAAAAAGATATATTTATCGGTAAATCGATTTAATATACCGTAATAGATTTTAAAAAATATATTATTGATCTTACTCTTAGATAACTATAATAGTTGAAAAAATATTTGAAATAAACATTTTATAAACTAAATGTTTCTAGCAATCAGGCAATATGCGACAATCTTCTCAAAGTGGGTATTGTCTAAAATTTATAGGGTTATCTAACACATTCTGCTGGAATATATATTTTACAAAATCAAAAAATTTTTAAAAAATGCTTAAATAATTAATTATGTTTTAAAAAAATATTTAAAGAAAAATGTTTATATAATTTATTTTAATAATAGTAATATTACTCATTTCCCCTATTTCTAAAGAAATTATGAGAAATATATTTAAATAAATAAAAAATTTTAGAGTTTAAAAAACCAAAAAAAACATCTCAACAGATTTTTTAAACGTAAAATAACTCAAATTATCAATAAGCTACAACAAGCTATCTAAAATTGTTAGTGTACAATAATTTTTTTTTTAAAATATGAATATATTAATATAAATATTCTTACCTGGAACCATTTCTTCTTCCCATTCTTGATAAAATAAAAAAATTTATTTTTTTTAAAGAAAAAAAAATTCTTTTATTCTTATTTATTTTTTCTAAAAATGTATGCTTAACCTTCTTTCCACATTGCAAATTACAGTTTACGGATAAAATTTTATTATTTATTATTTCTTATTTTTATTTCTCTATCCTTGTCTCTATACTGGGGTTGCCTAGTAGTTATGATTCGAATTGAGGTAGATTTTCATAAAATAAATATTTTGGGGAGGCTTCTCTCCCAAAATCCTTCTTCGCAAACATGCCGCCAAAATATTAATGATTTATTTTTCAATTTTTTTTTTTCTTAGACAATAATGTTGATTCTTTTATCATTAAAATTTATAAATTATGACCATTAGTAAATAAAAAAATCTTGTACTTTTATTGATTTATCAGATAAAACATAATAAATTTTAGGGAAAGGGGGTGATTCAATAGAAAGAGATATATTGAATTTCTAAGATTTTGAAAATTACATTTATGGCCTCATACAATAATATTTTTATATCAAAAAAAATTTTGCAGATAAGGTATCACAATTATTTTAGGGAATGGAATAATTTCAATTACTTTTACATATGACAGATATGTTTAGAGTTGTTAGAAGCTTGTTTGAGCTGAATTTTAAAAAACGACTAACTCTATATTTTATCCAGAAAAAGTATTATGCACTTGCTATGATTTTTCTAATAGATGATGGCCAAATGTTTCAAAATCTATTAATATAATCTCTAGACTTAAAGAATGATTTCTTGATACATGATAACTAAAATTATATTAAAACTTATTGTTATAAAAATTGAATTATTTAAAATTTTGAAATATCTTTGTGGTATAAAAAATTTTTTTTTAAACAAATTAAAAATATATAGTTAGTTAAGGGGGGAAAAAAATGATAATAATACAATTGGGTAAAAAAAAAAATTTCAATAAGGACGGGGGTTAAAAACAAATCCATTTCCCTCAAACAAAAAATTCAATTCGAAACCCTAAATGTGAATTGCTCAAATTAAACGGCATCAAGCCTAATCGAGTATATGTAGGAAACAGAAATATCTTTGTTCTGAAGAATGACATTTATTTATTTTTTTAAAATCTCGACGAATTTAATATGCACCAAATAATTAAGTTGGTGTGATCATATTATCTTTAACCCTGGTCTCTCCTAAAAGTAAAAGTAATTATAGTTCATTTTATAAAATAATTATTTAAACCTATTAAAAAAAATATACAAAATTAGTTGTAGGTTTTACAATGATGGAACACAAAGCAAAATGTTGTTGAAATATTTCGGATATGTTTACATTATAAAATTGAATCTAAGATTATGATTACTTTCAAGATCAATCAAAAATGCCGCTTGAAAGAAAATTATTGGAAAATATTAATATAGATTATTTCTTATAAAAATTAGAGTTTTACCTTGCTGGCCTTTGATAAAATATTTAAAAGTCATTAAAAAATTTTCTATTTGTATTTAATGCAAGTTTTTGAAAAAAAAATTATGAAAATACTCCATATTTAAAATGTCTAATTTCTTTTTAAAATTTACTATATATTTTTTTTAAAAACATAAAAAATGGAGATTTCATCCAACAAGTTCTGTAGAAACCACCATTTTATAGGGGGTGCTTCCTAAACTACGATTTTTTTAAAAATGAAAAAAATAATAGTGTTCATAAAATTAAAATTAGAAATATCAAATATATTTATAAAAACGAATCTACTATAGATTATTTAAGGTTTTTATTGAATATATAAAATTTTATCAATATATTTTTACAATTATCTGTTGCTATTTTTAATAGTTTTATGAGACAATTTTTTAAAATATATATGAAAATGTTTTATAGCAAATATTATTATTACCAAAATTTTTAAAAAAAGTAAAGGCTTTTAATTAAACTAAATATTTCTCATTTGGGATCAAGGAACAAAGATAGGATTCCTTTAAACGTATATAAGAAGCAATTTTTTTTAAAAATTTGGAATAAAAATGTATCGCAAACCTAATTCATCATCAATTCCTACATTTGTAGCAAGCCACAAAAAATCTAAAAAAAAAATACATATATATAATAGATTATAATATATATTTTTTTTAATAATGAGAAGAAATACTACCTTCATCGAAAGCTGGATCAATGATCACTTATAAATATAGAAGAAGTTTTTAATGAAAAGAATTTAATGACTATAATACCTTGATAAGGTAAATCCGTCGCTTAATTTATATTATAATATATAAAAAACAATGTATGTTCAAAACTTTTTCAAAAAGTACACAGAAATTTTAAAACTTTTGTAACTTTCATAAAATATTTAAAAAAAAATATGTTTCGGTCACAAAGATGTGTTTCGTGCCATTTCGATATAGTTTTAAAAGTTTTAAAAATTAAACTATGATTTGGAGACTGAAAATATTGTTTCTTAAATAATATAATAAATGTATCGATTAGGACAAACAAATGGTCTTTTTTAAAATAAAAATAAAACTATAGCAAATAAAAATTATGTAACAATCAATCTTTGTATATTAATCTCATATGAATCCCCCTTTCCATGGGCAAATAAATGTTTCGAGCATTTTCAAGAATTTAAGAATGTGCCTATAACCTGACGAAAAAGAGTTTTATATTTTTCTATATTAATTATATTAAAAAAAATGCTTTCTTTTAAATTGTAAAAAAGCATACATCAAGAAGAAAATATGGAATCTCTGAACAGTCGTGTATAAATTCCTAGAAAAAAAAATATCCTGGCGGATCACCAGGCCATTTGTCGTTTAATTGATTACTACTCTTTGAATATTAGTAAAATCCGTGGATTATGAACTACCAAGGAAAACCTGTAAATCTATTGAACATCTGGATTTGTTGTTCCACAATACAGAACCAGAAACTAAATCCCAACAAATCATGATCAAACATAAAATAGCACGCTGGTTGGTTGGTTAGAAGAATATTTAAAGATACTGCTAGATACCGAAAGATAATGATTTTATTAACTAAAAATCGACCAGATTTTACCAAGAGCATTGAATAATCACATTATTTCTTTTACCTTATAACCATAGAATTACAAGAATTCATTTATGTAAAGAGAGAAAAGAATCTTTTCTAACTCTTGGCAAACTTAATCAAGCAATCATAAAAGATAAGAATTTCAAATCAAATGATATATACATGAAAGAGAATATTCATTTTGAGTAGCCCACTGAGCTAGCCTTGGCAACAAAGTTAAGTTTAAATTACGGCTTTATATAATTATACCTTCTATTCCTTGCAAAACATTTTCTAAATTATCTGGATGTTTTATGGTGAAAAATTAGATAATTAATTAATTATAATAAAATAGTAAAATTTACTGAAACTTAGCCTACGGATATCTCCTCGTTCTAAATTATAAGTAATATATTCTTTGTATAATAAAATAAAATATGAAATTCTTAAAAATTTAAAATAATTTGTATTGTACAAATAAAAGATTAAAAATATATTATTTCATTGTTAAATTAATTTTACTTTTCCTTCTGGCATCCTTGTCATAAACAAATCTAAAGTAAGAATCGTTCATTTCAGACGTTTTATAATCAATTGTATAAGTTATCTCCTTTTGCGCTATATCATTTTTAAAAAATTTTTAACAAAAATATCAGATGTGTAAGGTAAATATAATATAGAAATTTAATTTAACTACCAAATTTTACCAACTTGTTTTAAAATTTCCTCAGTTGAAATTATTTTTTATTTTTTATTCTTTATTCATTTTAAAATTTTTATTATATAATTGATAGGTTCTAAATTGCCGAAACAAAAATCGCTATAAGAAGGTAATACTTAGATAGAAGAACTTCGAAAATATTTAAACATCGTTTTATTTTTTTAAAATATATCATCTATACGATAGTAATTAATATTTAAGAAAAAAATCTTTTAGTTTTTTCATCAATACAATAATGTTAGCGTTTCTTGATACGTGTTTATAGCGCTTTTTTTTATAATCCTGATTAAATAAATTAAAAATACATTGTCAAAAATGTTACATGTTACAGGTTCATCCCTATTATATATTCACAATATGATTTATTGGAAAACATTTCCATATATTTGTAACAACTTTCATAAAATTTGTTTAATTCGATGTAATTATTATTTTTTCACAATGTTAGCAATATGTTATTTATTTTATAAATAAAATTGTTACAAATGCATGGAAATTTTTACAACAAATCATAATACACACACTGTATCACCAAGAAGAACTTTTTGTCACTTACTACAACTATCATATAATTTACTTAAAAAAATAGGTCTACCATCTTCATATTGCCATTCGTGAAAACCTATAAAAACTTTTGATTTCTAGTTCTTATAAATATAGTTTAAGTATTTATTTATTAACCCTTCGATACTCCGGTGAAAAAAATAATGCTAGTACTCGGGTGGGGTTTAATAGACCCCAATTTCAAATGTATATATCTCCAGTTATATTAATTTTTATTTAATATTTGGATATAAGGTAGAACTGACCTTAAACTTGATAAAATATTTATTTATTTTTATTTCTTAAGCTTAGATTATAGATAATGAAGATAAATTATAATTTGTGTGAAAATTTTCTAAAAAAAGGTTACTTTTTTTTAAATTTCAAATATTAAGTTAAAAAATTAACTTATCTATCATATAATCATGATAATTCATAATATGAATCTTTATTCTTCAATATAAAAAAAAAATTACACTAATACATTCAAACAAAAAATATAGAACATTGAAATATGTTAAATTTGACATGCAAAACATTTATTACATAAAACATTAATGTGTTCCAAACATAAATTTATTTTACATGTTTGAAAAAAAATGATGGTTAGATTTAAAAATTCTAGCTAAAATAAAGATTTCCCAATAATGTCTTGAATTGTGTTACATCAACTCTTTAGTAGAACTTTCATATTGGTGAGTATAGTTTTACATATAATTTTAATTTTTTCATTGGTATGATAAATAATCTCTTCGATCATTTTTGTGTTATCAAAACATTTTTCTGGAGTGTCAGCTTCTTCCCGTAATTCTTTTACTCCTGGCAGATGAATAACTAAATTTTGTTCTTTTTCCCATTTAGTAAACTTATTTTTTTTTAGCTAATTTTAAAGAGAAATATACTGATAAATGATTTCATATTTACCTAAATAATACTAAGTTTATTGTCTTCAACTAACATTTTTTCTTCATCTAATTCAGATAGTGTATCATGATAAATATCATATACAAAATCTTCAACCTCATTAATAATTTTATTGTCATAATCACCTCAAATAAAATGATATTACATCTTAAATAATTATACATTTAGTTTGAGCATCTGCAAAAATCATTATTAAATGATAAAAAAATAATTTGAGAAATGAGTCAGCTGGTGAAAAATAATAATAAAATAACTCCACCAGACAAAATCTTTACGTTTTCTTTATAGTATATCTCATTCAAAATATAAGATATTTAAATTTTGTATTTAATAAATTTTATAATATAGTAAGTATTATATTTATAATTTTAAAAATTTTAAATTTAAATTTAAAAAAAAAAAAAATTTCTTAAAAAATTACAAATTTACTCTGGTGGGGTCTCACAAACCACAATGCTTATATATTAAAAACTACTCAACCAAAATATATGAAATTTGGAATATAGATTCTAAGATATATTTGATGAAGCTACCGAAGAATGTAGAACATAATATTTAACCGTTTTATGTAATATCATTTCTAGCAGCAGAATATTGAAGAGTTAAATATAAATTTCTGCTTAAAGATGGCTATGCACCTCGCCAAAACCTGCTATAGCTCATCGCATTTAATTAAAACTTGATTTCAAGATATTAAATGACAATAAATATGATCATTATTTTTATATACGATATAATTGAGATTACTTTATCATTTTGAAATTGATTAAAAGTCCGATAAACTTTTATGAAATGAATTTATTAGTAAAAATAATAAGTTACACATGTGGTATTAAAATTTGCTAAACTTTTTTCGTGAGTATTTTTCGAAAAATGTCCATATAAGCCTCATATTAAAATAGATTTATGGTTTATATTCAAATATCAAATTTTTTTAGTTCTAAAATTATTTGGGAAAGAAATTACCCTACCCCAGATATCACTATCATCAATTAATTTTGTTTTAAATATCGCTGAAATTGATAGAGACATATTAAAAATTCCCGAGTCACCATTTTTAGCACAAAAATCGACCTTACACATGTCTCACTTGAAATTTCTTAACAACATCAATCAATATTGCATTCGGGGTGCGTATAGAGATATAAAAAAATTTTTTGGAAATTTTAAAAGGGAACCTATTTATTTCAATGACGATTTAAAAGTTAAAACTGACTTTCGAAAACATCTCGCAAAAATAATGAAATATGTAACCTAACCTGTCTGTTTATCAGGTCTACGATGATGAGCTATCACAAATATAGACATTCTGCTATTATTCTTTGAAATTTCTCCACGTTTGAGAGCCTCTTATAAAAAAAATAGTAAAAAAAAAATAATTTTTAGCAAAAGTTTTATCCATAAACGTCATTTTAACTTTTAAATTTTTTGGTCCAACAATAAGTTTTAAAATGATTTGAGTGATGATATATTTCACACAATAATGACAATCGTCACAAACTTGACACTGTTTTTTGATTATATAATTTACAAAGGTGGCTATCTTTATAATGATAATTAAAAAATAAAATAAAATAGATTTAACTATTATTTCCTGATAATTTAATACAGGTAATAATTGTCACATTTGTCATTTTAAAATTAAAAAAATTTTTTTTGCCGAAAATACTAAAAAAAACAAGTATTTTTATGGTAAGATAACATATAAACCTAACTGGCCTTCATTATTTTTTTATTATCATAAAAGATGAGATGGGTTAGGTTAACTTGCTACCATGAATAGCAATGCCTTTGGACAAGGCGTAGTTGAGTAAATTTCTTAGGGGAAGTTTCCAACTATAAAAGCATTGAAGGTTTCGCTATTAGGCCCCCCCCCCTTTAAAGCTTATATTTTATAAATGTTATGAAAAAAGGTAATTATATTCCTTCTGCGCTATGAAAATTAGTGACTTCTCTACTAAAGAAAATATATCCTTAGCACTGTCATTTGCTGGGAATGGATGGATCAGAAGCCAATCTGACTAATCCAAGATATGGTATCCCCACTTCACAATGGCATCAAGTTGCATTGATTCTTCAATTTTATTGAAACAATCGTTTTTTTTCCAAAAACTCTAATTTACCTAGATACATGTTCTATCATGAAATGCTTCCTCTTATTTTATGTCGTTTCGTTGCTAATGTGCCAGTTTAGTATTATGCTAATACTCTACTTCTTTTTTTATCAAAAGACTTTCTTTGGCAAAATGTCCTAATTGATTTGAGAAATCTTAATCGTGGCCCTATAGTACTTTGGAACATAATTTAGAGATCTAGAACTTGCCGGTTCACGGTTAAGTTAGTCTTCATGACAACCTCCGCCTTTAGGCAAAATCGTTCAGTTTGATCCGATTTTTAACGCCCTAACTAAATATTTTATACAGAAAAATATGTATGCAAGACAAAAGATTTTGCATATATGGCACAATAGTTTAAACATCATTTAGCTAAATCTCGAATCTTAGGCAATTTTCTGGCTAAAATATTGAGTTAGCTATATTTAAAAATCGGCTCATATGGAGAGATTTTACATCATTAGCCCGTTGATGTATTGAAGACGAGATAGCTAAACTTTCCAATTTTTGGATACAGAGCAAGTTGCATAGTTTCTTGACAGCGATCTGCGGTGTTTGATGCCAAACACACTGTCAAAGAATAGTTACGCAGACGTCATATTTTTCCAACCTAACTGCGCAAACACTGGCCCGCTATGCTTTTCTCGATGATACTATGTCATCTGCTTACATGACCATGGTCCTGATTTCTACAGGTCCTCGATATAGCCCGTCTACAAGAAACGGCCTTGAGTCTCCGACACCCGTTGTAGGCATTAAAGCTGACTCTTCGTATATACGTATAATCCTACGGATTCCTCTTTTGCGCATACATCGCATTATCAGATTTCTGGGTATAGTATCATATGCCCTTTTCCAGATGAATAAACACAATATGAAGCTCCTTCCTCATCTACCCATATTATTCCTTCCTCAGTCTTGGCAAGACAATAGGGTCAATGGTCAAAAAGTTCTTTACAAAACCAAAATATTTTCCAACACCTAACCACACCCGTTACATTGTCTATCCCTATCCCTATGATAATCATAAATAAAAATTTTTTGCCTGATTTTCTATCATAAAAATTATTTCAAAAGGTTGTTTAAGACTTTTGTATAGGGCAGGCAAAGCATTAAAAAATATTAATTTAGAAAAAAAATTAAATAGTTATAGCGATTATATTAATATAGCATTAAAATCATACTCTTAAATTTTTTCGGAAATACCATTACGTGTAGGCTTGGATTATCTTCGTAAGTCTATCGATTGACGAATATAACAAAATCAGAACCTATTAAATAGAACAAAAAATTTCTGTTATATTATTTTTGTATTTTTTTTTCCAGTTGCATAGATGTGAAAAATTATATTCATAAGGCCCGAGAAAATAAATTTATATTACATTTACTCCCATCAGCATCACGTTTTTTTAATTTAATAACACAGCTATTTTAAAAATAATATTAATTTTTTTAACACTCTGTGAGCACGGTTATAGAATATATAATACTAATTTTATATAGATGCGTCAGGAGCATAATCCAAAATGGTTTATTTGAAGTTATTTATATAAAAAACTTATTAACAGTTACATGATTTTGTCTAGATAAAATATAATTAGCTATTTATTTTTCTCATCTATCATAAAAAATTTTATGTTATTCGTTTACTAATAATACATCACTTCTCTAATTGTTGGTGGATGGATTACGGTTGATATAAATACTTGCTTTAAAATCTTTCTACTTAATTCTTGCATCTTCTAAGCTCATATGTAACCCAAGAAATATAATACAATAAAAAAATTATCAAAATTTAAATAATTATCGTAAATATAATGCAAAGTATCGAGTAACGTTTTAAAGTAACGCGCTAAATTATTTTTTTTACATATATTTGACAATAATACAGTTACAGTTACCATCTTTTGATGGAAAAAATTTAAAGAATTCGGTAAAGATGTTACTCTGTAATAAGTTATTATGGCGCCTAATAATATTTTAATATTTGCCTTTCTATATAAAATTAAAAAATAGCTAAGAGGTTTAAGAAATACAAATATTTGAATAATTTTCTTTAAAAAATATTTACCATAGTAATTATTGAGAAGTTTATCATCTATAGTTATGTTTTTAATTTAAAAAAAAAAATATATATATGGATGATGAATAAATTATATTTTATAATAATATTAAATATATTATATTGTTTAAAAAAAAATTTGTCCATATTATTAACTTAAATATTTTAATTTCTTATTTGTGCTAGAAATTACATACCTAAATCCAAATCACCTCTTATTGTTATGTTTATTAAAACTCATCCTGATTTATAGTGGCCCCTACATTTTCTGAACGATGGGAACCAGAATACCCCTTAAAAAGTACCCCCCCCCCCTTAAATAAATATATAAATATTTTTTGGCCCTTATTAAAATAACAAAATATTGCTTCTCATAAACATCATACGTATACCATCAACTATAATTGAAAAAAAAACACTTGTTAAATTCAAATCTCTTTTTTTAAATTTTTTTTTATAACCATATTTTTCATGGCTTCAAAAATGAGAATATTTCGATAGAATTAGGATATAATTTTCATTAAAAATCCTATTGTTTTTTTCTTCTCCCTAACATTTTTTCTTAAATTTTTTGATTATTACAATTTTGAGGACACGTTATCCAAATCTGATGTCTTTAAAAACGCTTACTCCTTTTAAATTCTTTTCTTTGTATCGTTTATAATTTTTCTCACCATATCATCCATTATGGTCTGTCCAATTAATCCAGTACGCCATGTGCAATTAAATTAAGCATTTTTCTCTTTCTTTTTTTTTTGGTTAATATTTTTTGGGCATGAAATGCAAAAAAAAAAAATTTTTGTAGAGATGGATGTGGTAAAAACATGAAATATAATTAAAAATATTTTTTTAAAAAAAAGTACCCCAATCAAATTCTAAGAAGCAGTTTCTACGAATCCCACTCACTCCTCTCAACCCAGTTGTAAGGGCCACTGTTTATTTTTATGGACAAAAGATAAAGGTAACATGGCACTAAATATATAGGTTTAAAATGATGATAAATCTGATTTCTCAGTTTGGGCATATATTTTATATAATGTTTTTCTGTATAAAGATAAATAAAATTTGTGTGTATGTATACCTATTTTGACATGTTTAATAGTTTCGATAGACCAGGTTCTGCAAATTTTAAACTGGAAACTCAGCTTGTAAGTACCTGTTTGATTGAAATCGTGTTTGAATGATGAATTCTTGAACTTTATCAGAATATAAAACAATCATAATTTAGCCATTTTAACAGGTAACATAAAGAGAAAGTGTTCCAAAAAGTTAAAGAAATTACAAAATGTAAAAATTTAACGAAGATAAGCAGGGTTATTATACCTGTTATACAAAAACAAAACATCCATATTATAAAATTGAAGAATTATTTTTTCGTTAATTTACAAATCATAAAAATGATAAAATATGATAGCCGACAAACACAACGAGTAATTAATACATTTATATGAACAGAATAATAAAATCTGCTTCATTAAGATAGGACTAAATATTTTATTCATTTGATATTTTCATTTTTAAAGTCATTGCCAAATACATTTATTTTATAGATTGGTATAATAATCTTGCTTGATTATCATTTTTCTTTCTCGCTATTATGTCACCCGCTTTGGAAAAAAAAAATTTTCCCCCAAGGAATTTAAGTTGATTGAATTGAATTTTATATAATTTGATAATATATATAATTTAAAAAAAATATTATTTTTCTATAGATCCAAGCAGCACAAGTGCATCGAAGATCAATTCTAAAAATTAAATCGAACCACGGGTCAGACCGTCTCGAGTCGGTTAAACCTTTAGTTTAAACTGAAGAACCCCGACTGTTTACCTTTACTACTTTTTTTTTCTCCAAAAATAAAAGAACATATCTCAAATATTTATCTGTCGTGCTTCAACATTAGCAGAGTTGTTAAAAAGATACTTTTTAAATGGATCTAGATACAGATACAACGTCTAAAATAATTTCTAGATACAGATTATAAAATCAAAAATCTATCTAGATACAGATACCACATTTTTAGAGCTAGATTATCTAGATTCTTTAAGAACTATGAACATTGGGCAATTTTTTTTCAACTTTTTGATCTAGAGTAAAATCATTATATTTTAAAATTTTTCATAATTATTAGCTCAATAGATTAAGTTGCAATTGATCTATAGATCCCAATTTGAAGCGCAATTAGGTGATGCTTTTAGCAAGCTTTGCGTAAAAATGTAGCTATTTAAGCGATAGAACTACATGTTAAAGAGCCAAAATATTATTATATATATAGAGATGAGAATGAAACTTATTATGAATTTTGAGGCTCATAAGATTTAGCTTGTTAAATCATATTCAAGAAATAATATTTTTATTCAGAAACCCTGAAATAATATAATCTTTAAAGATGCTCTACGGGCTTAAAAATAATCACAAACACTGGGCTGTGCTCAATTTCCCTAACATAGATTAATATTAAATCAATAAAACAGTTTTAAAAAAAATTACGCGAGAGATTTTTTTTAATTTCAATTCGTCTCATATTCTTAATTTTCCCATGGAAAACCATTTATAAAATTACCAACTTTAAAAGAAACAGGCCCGTATTCCAACGGCTAATACACTGATAGAATTAGGCGATAATAAGTAAAATTCTCCGAAATGGGAGAGGAGTGGGGTGTAGGAGTAAATTATTTTAGATTATTAAACCTCTTTCATCCGTGAAGTGGGCCAGTTAAATTTAAGTAATCTTAAAAAATTTGTTTATTATTGAAGCCAGTTAGTCCCATAAGGGGGAGGGTTTATATAATTTTTTAAATTTTTTTTAAATATTATAATTCATCATATAGTAGTCATACTCATAGTTAGTATAACTCAATATTTCAGCCAGAAAAACAGTGCCTAAGTCTAGAGATTTCTAGAATATATGTCTAGACCTTTATTCCTTCTATAAGCAAAATCTTCTTGCGTAATATTTTTCTGGATGAAATATTGAGTTAGCCGTTTAACAACACTACTCATAGTCTTCTTCGTAATATATGTAGATGAATAAATCAGTTTTTTTTTCGATTCTTTAAAGGGAAGTATAAAATAAAGTTAAATACCAAAAATATTTTCTACTTATCTTTTTATGAAGAATTTTGTGTCATGTATAAAATAATATTTATATATTTACTTCTACAGATTTTCCTATTTCCATTATTTGGTTATCAGATGTCCTTGTCAATAACTTCATTCTATATTTTTTGGCCGCCTGAAGAGGTGTAACTAAATTGAAACGTGCAAGAGATGGAGTCTCTTTGCGATAATTTACCCGTTCTAAGTGAAAGTTATAAATATATGATTGAAATGAATATCGCATATATTATACAGAAATATTTATAGGAAAATTTATATTTGGGAAAAGGTACATTTTACATGCTAATAAAAATAATGTTTGATAAATGTTGTACTATTTTAAATGCATTATATAAGAGTATGTTTAATATTAAATTTGATTTTTAAGGATTATTAACCTTATATTTTTATTATATTTTCGTAGTTTTTGTTAAATATATGATACGATTATAACTTAAATATTATTTGGATAATTTTTATGTATGAAAATAGTTGTTTTATTAGCAAATATCGGTACAAGACTCCAATTATTATAAATTCAAAAACTAGACACAAACACTCCCAGTATGTTTTTTTTAAACTATTTGTAATACTAGTCTAATAATTAAACATTTAAACGAAATAACCAGGCGCGTAACCAATGGGGGGGGAAAGGGGGAAATTCCCCCCCCCCATCGCAAATTTGACTATTTTCATAAATATCATTTTAAGCTAATAAAAATTTTACCCCCCCCCCCCAGACCCCCCTCCCCCTACCCACACAAATCAAAATTTTACAAATATTTGAATATTAATTTTCCAACATATTATTCAAAAATATTAATAAAATGTAAAAATATTTAGTCAAAGAGATTGAAATCAAACGATAATTTATAAATAAGGCTGAGCATGAAAAAAAGTAATGTGTCGTTAGCAGCGATATCATTATTGAATTCAATTGATCAATCAGAGTTTATCATTGCTGCTAGTTGCATCAATAAATTATTTTTAGCTCACTACTTTGTAGAAATTTACAAAAACCAAATTTAGATTTGGTTCAAGTTATTGATTTGGCGGAAAATATACATGAACAGGTAGATACAATAAGAATGAATGTAGATAAATATTTTCATAATATTTATCTAGACGTTGAATCGAAGGCTAAATTTTATGATATAATACTAATTAAACCTCGTCTAGCACCTAGGCCATTTTTGAGATGAAAATAAATATTGGCTCAACTGAAGAATATTCTAAAATATCCATTTTCATCCCATTCTTAGATACTTTTTTATAGCAAATAAAAGTACGGGTTTTAGATAAAAAACAAGTCTTTAGCAATCTTCAAGTTTTATTACCCAAAGATCCTTCTTCATTTTCTAATACCACTATTGGTAAAATTAAATATTTAGAAAAATTTTATTCCTATGAGATTGATACTGAAATAAATTTAATCAGTGAATTCGAATTGTGGTATAAATATTTATACGTTTATCTATTTTACCTGAGCATGCTATTGATGCGCTCAATCGGTGTAAAGAAACCTTGGCTCAATTTCCTAATATTTCGAAGTTGTTTTATATTCTTGCATGTTTGCCTATTACAACATGTACGAATGAAAGGACTTTTTCCAACTTGAGAAGGTTGAAAACATATTTACGAAGTACTGAATCTCGGCTAAATGGGTTAGCTCTGTTAAATATACACAGAGATTTGGTTCCAAAGACAAACGAAATAATTAAAAATCTTGTATTTGATAAGAAGTTAAAAAAAACTTGTTAATTTAATTATTTTCTAGTCAATATTTTAAACTACTATTAGTATTTTCAATAAAAAAAATTATATTCTACTTATATTGTATGAGAATTTAAGCTGAGGCTAGTTTTTAAAGCAAATTTTATAAAAAAAATGACATTACACTTTATTTCAACTTTACATATAAATAAACCTTTACATTTAAAAAAACTTTATTAAATATAATATACCTAACTTGAAATAATAAAAAAGAGGCTTGTAATATTCTATCCATAAGCACCAATTAGTAAATAATAGTTAAAAATAGAAATATAATTATTATTAAATTATTCATAATTTAATAGAATAGCTAAATAAGACCCGGCCGAAGGCCGGAGGAAAAGCTGGCCGAAGGCCAGGTAAAAGGGGTTTGGGGGCGAAGCCCCCAAAAAAATTTCCCCCCCTATAAGAAAATCCTGGATACGCCACTGGAAATAACAATACTTGTATCTAAAATCAATAAGTAAGTTAGGAGTCAATAAGATTTGGTGACCCATAAATAGAGATGCAATTGGATCCAAGGTCGGGGAAGATTTTTCGTTACAAATAAACTTCTTCTAGAAAGTGGCACAATAATATTTAATAGCACTGCGGGACAATTATAGGGTTCAAAAAAAATTATAAGGGAATTTTTGGTACTTATATAAATTTAAATGATATATGATATTTCCATTCCAAAAATATATTATACATGAAAATATTATTAAATTTTTTATAATATTATCAACATTATATACATATTGTAAATGCAATTCAGTTAATTCCCAATCTTCTCTGAATTTGTTTATACAATTTTTTTATAATGTAAAACATATTTTATAGAAATCTGGTAGTTAAAGAAAAATCACCAAATAAATAAAACAATGAAGTAGAAAAAAAAATGGGAAGGAGGATCAAGGGATGAAGGAGTGGATTATTAAGAAATCAGAGTGGTAAATCACGTTCTTTGGCAAAGGTTTAAACCCTCACTGAGTTATTTTTTTACCCAGTGATTTGATTAAGAAGAGCTAAATCGCCACCTGAAGTGAAACGCTGCGTTATTTTAGAATTTGGACATTTTTATTTGATTAAGCATAAAATATCGTATTAAAATATCTAATTTTTGATCTATGATCTTTATTAAAAAATATATATATAAATACCCATTATATAATTAATGGGTATTATTATTTCTAAAAAATGAATGTCTATAAAAAAATCTAAATGAGTTGCAACAATATGTTAAAAAAAACTAATTTACATAATTTATTTAAAGGTGGAGTGTGGGGGTCATTCAAGGAAATGATGGATGCTTAGAAAATTAGATCGAGAGATCTCTATAGAAATTCACTTTCATAGATAAAGCCACTCGCTTGGATCAAGGTATTAAAATAATACCATCTGGTCTTTATAAAGTATCATTAAGGTGACGAACTGGTCTGAGGTTGTAGAATATGTTAGCCTTTTAAAAGATAGTAATATATGCTGTCGATTGCTTTTTGGAGGGTTAGCGTCCACGAGAATTCGAAATTAAATAGTAGGTGCCCTTCATTGTTTAATATTTTACCACAGTCAACACAATTAGATATTGTTACTGTGTTACAGTCTAAGCTGAGTACGATAGAGTTTCTAAATTGTTTTGCCGAGAGGAGCAATAAGAAATTGGGAGCTGAGTATTGCCTCAAGTCATTCTTAGTCAGTTTTAGCTATAAAAAAGATTGAGCCATGGTTGTGTTGATCTCAAGATGACCGTTGTAAGGAAGTAATCAACGGAACCTGCAAAAACTGGTAAATTTGGGTCAAGTTGTATTTGTCTATTACATGGTGGGGAGTTTTTATCACAAATGTTGATAGGTAATGTTAGGTGGTTGGTTGTCTACATTTTCGGGCTAGATAGTAAGGAATTCGTAGGAGATTATTATTAGTGGCGTCGCTAGGGGAAGCGCATGGGCTCGAGCCCCCTGGAAAATTTGAATAGCCCCTGAAGAAAAAAAATTTTTTTTAATGAAATCTTAACCCTTAAAATAAAAATAAAATTTTTTGATTGCCCATAGAAAGATTTTTTTTATAATTCTATTAAGTAAAATATAGATTTAATTTTATTATTTAAAAATTAATAAGAGTATCTAAATATTTATTAATGAATACTATATTTTAAATATTAGATTAAATTAATACATATAAATTATATTTTAATTATGTCAGCTAGCAATCAAATTTTGTGTTAAATATAGAATATCAATATCACTCACTAATTAACAGTTGAAGCTTAATTGACTATTATTATTTAAATTATTTTATAACCCTAATTAAATAAATAAAACCATTTATTAATTGAAAACTAAAAAATTTAATATTGTAATTAGCAGAGTTCGAAATGACTAATCAACTGTATATTTATTTTTAAATTTTATTATCATACCTATTCCCTAAAAATATTTTCAAGGTCAAATAAGTATAATAAAAAGTAAGTAGACCTATAGTTTATAATCCTCGATTATATACAGTTGTCTATAAAATATTAGATAAAATGTAACTTTTATAGACGTATTTGACAGTTATTATATTACAGCTAATATTATAATAAATTTTACTAATAAATGCTTTTGATAATAAATATAGTAACAATTTGCTCTTAAGTATTTAACGCCATCTATTTAGTTAAAAATAATTTTAAAAATTAAATATTTTATTATTCATTCTACAATAGATGTAATAAATTTGATTTCTTTTCTTTTTTAAGTTAGGAAAGCTATTTTTTTCTTTTTCAAAAAACAGTTTTAAGTTAAATTTTTATTACAAGAATATTTTTGATATTTTTACAAACTACTATTAATTTTAAGATATAATATACCAACTAGAGGTGGTGGGACAATATATAAAATCTTAATTGTTTCATCATATCATTCTGGTCCTTATTTCATAATTCCAAAATGTTTCATTTCTAATATGGCATCCTCGCCATGTAAATAACTCAAGGCTTCAATATTTTGCACAATTATTTCTTCCAAAGATTTTTAGTGTTTTTATTTTATCAATTTATCCAACATAATATATTCTGATATTAATCGTGAGTATCATGGCTATTACTGCAAATTAACCAGCATCTATTATTTGTGTTGCTATGTAATTTAAGATTACTACTACAACGGCTGAGAGCATATGATTGCATATTTTAGATAAACAATAATGGTTAACTATGTAGTCGTTTATATATCATTTAAAATGGAAGATAATCTTTTAGATATTTAATATCTCACAATAATTTTCTCGATTATTTATCAGCTTCCATCATGTCATCTAAAAGGAAGCTCTAACGACCATATAGTTTTATGATTTGGATTGGTCGTTTATACTCTCCTCTTCCAAAATTGTTGATTTTATTTAGGCCTATAAATTTTTCCTTATTAGTCAATTCTATAAAACATTGTCTAAAATGGTAACAGAGATAGATAACCTTTTGTCCATGTAAGTTGCTAAGAATTATATTATTGCATTATGCGGTTTTTAAAAACTATTATCAAGGCATTTGTATGGATTAATTAATCTTTTTAATCACTTGTAATTCTTTAGACGCAAATTTTTTTTTTATCAGCAATCGAAAATATTTTCTACTTTAATATATAGATTTTGTGTTAAAAAAAATAATATATTTAAAAATGTCTTGTATTGTTTTAATTATTTATAGGCCAGTTTATTTTATATGCATAATATAATAAATGAGAAAATTAAAATTCAGAATAATTGTTAAGAGTTAACAAATTTAAAAAAAGGTATAATATATTAATATTAAACCCAGCCGAAGGCCCACAAATTGGAGGGCATGGGAGGCGAAGCCCCCATAAATTTTTTTTAGTTGAGCCCCCTGAGATTGTAAAGGCTAGCGATGCCCCCGGTTATCATCCATATTGTATTTTAATATCAAAAAATTCTATAACGAAATGAAAACATAAAGGGATTTTAAAATGATATATGAATAAACGTATCATAACCCATTCAAAAAATATATAAATTCTAATCGTCATATTGGGGTATCAACAGCTTCTTGTGAGGCCTTATTCTCTATACTCAAGAGGGTTTTATCGAGCACCAGAGAGTTAATGAATGAAGACCAAGTAAAAAACATTTGGTACTAATATGAAACTTGTTTAATTCGTTTAAGTTGAAATTTAAAAAATAAAATCATTGTAAGCATTTTTTAAAAAATAAATATAGCAAAAATATTATGAATATCTGACTGTTTGTTTTATTTTAAAAATATTGACCCACCCCCCTCCATATAAACAGTTGGCACCTAAATTGGAAATTCCTGACAACTGTCCTGCTAATATAATTAAAAAAAATTTTGGAAAATTTTCGCTGCTTTTTTTATTGAATAATAGGGATATTAAATACGAAAAATCATGATAAAAATATAAAAATAAATTAAAGTTTTAAAAAATTTTAAAATATCTAAAATAAAAAAAATATTTATAAATAGAAAATTAATAAAATAAAAATTACCTATTTTTGTTAAGCGATAATCTAAATTTAGATGTATATAAACATTAATATCAACTTATTTTATTTATAAATATATATATTTCTATAAAAACGAAGAGGTATAGAGTTCAAAGATATCCAGAAAGATAGATACTAAGCCGGGGTAATTATGACTATTCCTACCAAATAGACAGTCAGAATTCAATATATAGATATATTTAGAATTAAACTATTGTAAAGATGTTCACACTTTCCTAAAAATTATGTCATCAAAAATTTTTATCGTATATATTTCTATAAAATTACCGATTTTCACGTATGAGTATGCTATTTGAGACGTATTCAAAAGGCATGGGCATTCTAAATAGAAGTAAATATGGTAAGTGTTTAATTTGCATGGAAACTTAAACTTGATTATACTGGAATTTTTAACCTTGAAATATAATTCATCAATAAAATAAATTCCGTTTTTTCGTTCACTCTTCTTTCTTTCTTTTTTTTTATTTCTTTATTAATTTATTATATTTATTTATTAATTTATTATATTTATTTATTAAGTTATTATATTTATTTATTTATTTATTATACTTATTTATTAATTTATTATATTTATTTAATTTATTTATAATTATATAAAATTATCACTATTTTCTCGTATTCCGAATTGTCAAGGTTACCAGAGATCTTAATTTCAATTGTATAGGGGTGTTTTTGAATAAGTCCTTCGATTATTGAATCATTAATTTTGAATATTTTTAGAAACCCTCTATCCTCTACCATTACATTTACACCTATAAAAAAATTAATTTGTGAAGCTTGTTAAAAATTTCAAATTATATATATATACATGGGAAGCCTGTCCATTGAGGTTTTAAAATCTCTCAATACATTAATTTTCTAAGATTTTCAGAATATTTCGTAAATTATCATTTTTTTCTTTTATATAATTAGTATAAAAAATCATAATTTTTTAAAAAAAAATTAAAATATATGTTTATGAGATATTCTCAAGATAGGTATTATAGACTAGCTATAATCTATAAAATCAATTTTTTCTCAACCCACTTCTACAATAAGCCGGTATCAAAAAAACAAGTTCTTGGTTTCGGGTAGGGATTATTAACAATGCTTTCTAACGTTTTCATCAGACACCACAAATAAGAGATATGATTAGTAAAACATTTTAAAGATTTATTTTTAAATTAGTAAAGACTAAGATCAAGAACTAGAAATGATGCTTACTAACTAGTACAGACATAAAAGCATCGGTTCCATATTTTCAGTTTTTTTTAAAAAAAATAAAATAAATGTATTTATTTCATAGTAAAATACTATAATATCACATATACATTATGAAATAATTATTAAGGACGATTTATTATAAATAAAGGGTGTTATCCTCGTTCATATAGGTGTGTTCAGATTTAAATTCCAAGAGACTTGATGTAGTAAGCCTATCGATTTCGTTTTTTATTTAACCCAAGAGTTTATATACATTATAATGTGAATTAACTTAATAAAATAGCAAGCATGATGAAAAACTCTCTTAGTGAAAAAAAAAAATATATTAATAATTTTTATATGCTAAACGCTGTAATAAGTAATTATAAAGACCTGTCTAGACTTAACACGCTTAAATAATAGCTGTCCGCTAATCTTTATGATTGGACCGTTAACCTTCATTATTAAAAACCAATGTCGAGCTATTTTGTCTAACTTTCCGTATCTCATAATTTATAGAGATGATTGACAAAGAAGTCAAGATACCTTTATATCATTTTCAAATAAACGAATAAAATACTATTGTTTTAAAAAAAAAAAATTTTTTTTTAAATATATAAACAGCTGATTTTTTTTTTTTTACAATTGATTGAATTTTAATTTTAAAATATATAAATCAATAGATATTTTTGTTTTCGTAACTATGCTAAATATTTATGAGAAGAATTCTAAACATAATAGAATTAATATCGTATTTTTTAAACAAAAATTTTAAATCACTTTCGTAAATCTAAAATTAAGTAATTCCGGACCTTCACTTCATAATTAAGGATCCATCATTATCATAGAAAAACTTACCTCCCACCCTTTATATTATACATTCAAAGCTCAAGTTTTTTTAAACCTGTTAATAAGATTAATAATTTTGTGAGTTACTATAGATGTTTCGAAGAACAATTTAATTATATAAGCGCAAGCAGAATGTAAAAGATAGATGAAGAATGAATTGTTTATTGCATTTTCATATACACTAAGCCAAATTAGAAATATATTTTACAGTTAAGTCTATTTATTATAATATTGTTATTTATTTGTATTATGCAAACTTTTTTGTCCATGGAGCATCATTCTCCACTCCATTTGTCCATGGCATGCCAATAAAATGAAATAGAGGCTCATCGCTTTAACGTATATCTTTCCATTATTAGGCTTGAATGCTAAATTTCTCATAATATAATATTTTTATTAAATTTAAAAAAAAATTAATATCTTTGGGATGAGAAATTATAAAATAGTTCAATTACTATTTATTATTTATTTTATTAACAAAAAAAAAGGTAAACAATTTGTATATTTATAATAATAAAAAATTAAAATTGATTATTTTTTTTTACAATATAAATATTTATCAAATCTAATTAGAGGTCCACAAACTTCGGCCCGGCATGCTTCGACCCGATAAAAATTTTTTCTTGTAATTAGGATTGATATATAATTCTTTGAAAAACAACAAGTCTAGTTCAGTAACTTTTAAAAACTATCAAATTTAGCGCTGAATTTAGTAAAGTATATTTATCAGAGATCTGCGGGCCTGGCCATTATAATTTTTTTAAATATAACCGGGCCGGGCCTGAAAATTTTCTTTAAAGAAATAGTCGGGCTGGGCCGGGCCTTATATTTTAAAACCAAATATTTGAAATCGCCATTATTAGCTATAAAAATCAAAAATAAATTTTGAAAATAATATCTGGGCCGGGCTGCATGTTTCTGATATTTATAAAGTTAAAAATCGCATTATCGGAACTTATAAATGAAATATAAATTTTAACCGTTTTTTTAAAAAAAAATATATATATATATTTTGATTTCCACTGTGGGGAATTTTTAAGAACGTGGCCTAATTATTTAGTATTAAAAAAAATAACTTTTGAATGTAACTGGGTTTTATGTATAGATATTATTTTTAAAAAAATTCTTTTCTAAGAATTATTTTTAATTTACATAAAGCTAGGAACTTGAAAATATAAAAGTTTCAATATTATGTGTTTTTTTTTAAAATTATTTATAAACCTAGATCAGTTTTTTTAACATGTCTAATCCTGCTAACTAAATTTCTAGATATATTAAATCTCAACAAATGTTTTTAAAGTTACTAATTAAATAGTTAATTATTTTTTACAGTAAAGATTATCAATATTATTTATTTCAAATAAAAAACTTCTAGCTCTTATCTAAAAATAAAACATCTTTTGGAATTTAAATTAATACTTTTAACCTTTCAACCCTTTATAATATACAAAAATGTAAAATGTTTGCACTTTTAAGAGTTTAAACTGCTATAAGATATTAAAAAAGATTTTTTTGATTTTATAAGAAATTTATAAATATTAAACGATTAATAATCTTCGATTATAATGTATAGTAAAAAACATTTTTGAAGTGGTATATTAATTATACTAGATGACTAAAAAGCAATGGCTCTATCTAGACAAGTACAACAGAAAACCTTCTGACGCAATATAAGAAGCAGATTACTAGATATAAAATAAATTCCTATATAAAGGAGTCTATCATTTAAATAGTGTAATGGAAACAAATTTTACATCAATGAACGATAAACAATCTTGATTAGTCGATTTAAATTATTTAAACATAATTTTCATATGTTGCTAAAATAATTGAAATTTACATTATTTTGTAATAAAACTTTTATAAAAAAAAGCTTTTTAATTAATAGCTGTTTTTAATTACATTACACCTCAAACTTTTACTGGTAAAAAATTTGAAAATGATAATCAAGTTAAGACAATTAGGACATAACGCATTAGGCGTAAAAAAAAATCGTTTTAGACGTAAATTTTTGGATTTAGTTTCAAGGTTATAAAGCATAAAATATTTAAAATTCTAAACTCTGTTTGAATGAACCTCTGTCTTAATTACATTAGGGAGTTTATAATAAGCGCTGATGAATTCATCGAAAAAATTAACTCTCTATCCAAAAAGAGATTTAATTTGATTATTAGAAATTTAATAATATGCTTCTTAATTACATATTATTTTTTAGTTCCTATTTTTTTAAATACAATTTTAATTTATAAATCTTAAATGCTAAAATCATATTTGCAAGGTATCTTTTTGAAAACCTTTATTTTTTAAATTAAATTAGCTAGTGTTTAGAATCTATAAAAAATAATTTTTGTAAGATATCCCTTCCCCTCCTCCATAGCAAATTCTTTCGTACTCGTCTGGGCACAAGGGGGGATTGAGATTTAATCTCTGGCATTTTCCTTAGATTTCAGAGATGCCTACTGGACTCTTTTATATCTGAAATGGTCAAAACAAACTGGTTTCTTTATTTTAACCCTTTAAAAGTCCTATGAACTAATTTGACATCATCATATTGCATGTTATTATTTTATCAATAATCAAAAAAAATATACTTTTATTTTTATTATTTTTTTATCACGTAACTTTTGACTATATTTCCGTTTCAATTTTTTTTCTAAATTACTTGATTTTACATATTATTTAAATATATTTTAAATCAAAAAAAATTCTTAAAACTGTTAGCGCCTTATCTAAATGTAGACAAAATGTTAAATTTATGTCATTACGCACTTATACTAGGATAGAAATTGTTAATTAATATTGCAAATATGATTTTAAAATTATAATCCCAAATCAATTTTTTTATAGCATGCGTATGAGTCATTTTATACATTTAAATTGTATATGTTGTTTTTATACCTGTATACTATGATAATGATAAGTCGAAGGTGATTTCGGAAACAGATTTTGACGATCCTTTGGATGATATTAATAAATGGGTATAGATTTGTTTATAAAAAGTAATTTTTTTAGAATTTGATAATATTTATAAAAGTCCGAGCTATATCTAATCTCAGTGGTAATTAAGTTTCTTAAATATATATATATATATGATATCATTTGTTATAACATTATCTAAATTTAACTTCTATAGGTATTCAATCTTAGATTAAATATATTCATTCGATAGATACCTACATTGTAATATTACACCGTTATAAAATTTAACATATCTTATTTCACACCAAGTTCAAGTTCATCTATTAATCTTCTTGTTTGACTTTCGTTCCCTCGTTGGATCTCAGGATTTTATTTTCCTTCTTGACTTGGTTTGGCTGATTCTACTATTTTATCTTTCTCCTAACTTTACTGTAATCATCTATTGTTATTGATTCGGGTTCAACTAGTTATTCCCCTATTCGTAGTTGGTCGGCTTGTTACCTAGGATTTTTCTTCTACATTACTAAGACAATTTAGCTTGTTGATTTATTATCTTTTCTTAACTTTTCCAGGGTGCGATGGCGGATTCCACTGGTATTACGGCAATACCTGGTATATCTCTGCGTTGATTTTGACATCCTATTACAGCTGTAGTTTTTCGACATCTTAACCTAATTGTTCCCACCATATATAAATGTATCGTAATGGATTTTATTGAAGTAATACCCTGGTGTCCTGTAGGCGAAGTGAGTACAGAATGATTAATCTGCCATTCCAAAATATAATGCCGTCGTCATTTTCTATTTCATCTATTCTTATTCTAAAAGCTTGTAATTATGATTTTGTATATTTGTACCATTTAATATTTTTACTCATTTTAAGATTAGATTTTTTGCGGTTTCTTCTCTTAGTTCTATTCAAGGTAGAGTTAATGTGTCATAAGTAAGATTTCCTATATAATTCACTGTTTAATTTTCGCTTGTTAGTCTATCATCATTTTTCTCTATTGGATTCCGCGATAATGCATCTGCAATTATACTTTTAGGGCCATTCTTGTACATAATATCGTAATCATATGCGGATAATTTATAGGTCTAACGTAATAATACTTGATTTGTTAAGGATGTTTAAATCTCTGTTACCACTCATATATTTTCATTAAAGGTTTGTGGTTAGTTATTACTTATAAACTTAAAATCATGATAGCAGTGCACATGATAGAAATTAGGGAATTGCCAACATCTGCGAAGGATATGACTAGTGGGACGCAAAATTATAATTCATACATTAGAAAATGCGCCCACAAATCTCATCTCACACTTCCAATGACCGCTCAGGGTAACACCACAAATCGAGTTGAGTTTTCATAAAATTTTATATAAATCTCATATTAAGGGGCAATCCTAAGCATTAGACCTTTAAAGGTACTCATTTTAACACTTGGGCCGGCCGATATTTAATGCTTAACTAGTATACATTTTTTAGTTTAATGCTAAACAGTATTAATTAATTAAAGTTATTTAAACAATATTATTAAGAAAATATTTTTTAATTGGAATCGAAAATTCGAGATAGAAACGCAAAAAAAATTAAAAAGAACTTATAAAATGAACAAATCATTATAGTGATGTTTCCAAGCTCGTCCATATTATGATTAACATTGAAATTTAAATCTTGATAGTGCCTATCAAGTTAGTTTTCCAAATGAGTAATCAGCTTGTCTTGCAACCAGCGTGCCAGATCAATATAGTAAAGTTGGAGATGCGTTACGCCAGTACCCTTCCTTAATCATTCCTAGTATTGCTAAATGAGCCGCTTGGGTCGATTATTAAAAAACAGTCCTATAAAGGTTTTAGCCAAAATAATAATATTTTATGTAAGCCTGAATATTTTACTCATATATGGCATAAAGGTGTTTGGGCCTCTATTTGTCAAAATCTAGAGGCTTTTCATAATACTATTTTGGCTAAAATTTTAATCTGGCCATTTTAAAAGTCCAACCCAAATTCGACCGTCTTAAATATACTAATTAATCCTCCAATCCCAATGATTTTATAATAGAAACTTTAATTATTTTTATAAAAATTCATACATAAATAATAATATTAAGACATATATATATAAAGTCAACACAAAAATTTATATACTGGCAAAAAAAAAATAAATTCCAAATTAAATTAATATAAAGATGAAATGCAGTGTAAAGTATAATCAAAGAGATGACCATAATTTTAATTAAATTACGTGAAGAAATCGCAAAAGAGTATAATGCTATTATATAAAAAATAATAATATACATTTTGAAAACGAAATGTCATATAATTTAAACCCTAACACCAAATACAAGGATTTATAATATATATAAGAAGAAATTATTTAATAATAATAAAAAAAAAAAAAATTAAATAATTAGAATTTGCTGTTTTCTAAGGTTCTCGGGCCACTGTATAAGGAATGAGGGCTCCA